CAGAAAGATCCCGGGTGTCCTCACCGGGACACGAACCGGCGACCTTCTTCTAAATATAAGATCACAGATCTGTTTATCTATTTGATTGTTTATTTATGTGGACATCACGATTATACTGGACAAACCAGATGCATTGTTTGAGTGTTTTAGCACATGTGCTAATTTGCAACACTTGTCCACAGGAGGCTTATAAAATGATAAAAATCATAAAAGTAATAGGAAAAGAACAAAGAGAGAGCAAAAAAATTACAGCGTACAATAACATTACAGCAGTAAAAGAGGCAGTTCATCAGATTAAATACACATGGAAGCTACAACGCAAAGGCAACATGTCGAACAATCAACCAGTTTGATCTAGAAAATGCTAAAATGTGTAACTCAGACTAACCATATAAACCACAGAAGAAGAGTCGTCCTCCAGTACTGAGCAGCAAAGAGGTCTTTAATCCGTCCGCGGTCACCCTGTTCAAATTAAAACGACAAAAACAAAAGGTGTATGTGTTAACAACAATGAAGCATCGTATTGGACTCACACATCTTGTTTTTCACACATCTTGTTTTTGTTCTTTTGTCTTCACACTCACCTGTTTATAAGCCATCATCCTCCCCTGAGGCATGGTCTTGCCGTTCTCTTTGGCAACGCGTGCTAAAGTTTCCATGGCCTTTTCTCTTCTTCCCGTCAGCACGTCAAAGCGAGGACTTTCAGGCAGCCACTGTGTAAAAAGTTCTGTTGAGGTTTTGGCTGCTGCTGGTTTCATTTAAAGGACCTGTATTAATCACCAACATACTCACAAAGCAAAAGGAAACAAAGATCGCCATTGGTATCGTAGACAGGCCGAGCAGCCACCTCCAGCCCAGAGTGGGCATTATCCACAAGGCCAGGAGGACCTCGAACACGGCACCGATCGCCCAGAACGCCTGGTGCACACAAACACCGTTTATGAGCAGAGCACTCAATCAGACTCCAATTGGAAATACAGTAAAAGTCTCACATTGATAAGAAAATGACTCCAGTACCGCGATCAGCATGATGCAGATGCCTCTTGCCTTCACTGGAAGGAACTCTGAGTACAGCGTCACCCTGAACACAGACTCAGCGTTAGATTTCAAGGAATCATGAACAAATCTCACGATGTGTGACGGAAGCAGCGAACTTACGACTGAGGAGCTCCTCCGATGCCAAAACCTAAGAGGCCTCGCAGGACCAACAGCCAGCCGTACACCGGGCTGAAGGCGCTCATCAGGCCGTAGTACAGAGTCCAGCACATGGAAATCGTCAGACCCTGTTCACCAAACAAGCAGAAACTGCATGAGATCACGCACAAAAATCATTAAATTACGAATGAAAAACACAGATTTGGGACTCACGACTCTTCTGCCGTACTTGTCGGACACATTCCCCCACACGGGCGAACTGATCCCCATCCCGACAAACACCACCTGATGCAAGAGTGCAGACATTAGCACACATTACAAAACCAACAAGCTGCAGAAAAGCTCCACAAGACGCTTTACCGATGTTATGAGTGCCACTTGGTAGCTGGGCAGCCTCCATTCACAGTGCAGCTGAGGGCCCAAGATGCTGAGGATCATCATCTCCATGGCGTCCGCTACCTGAAGCACAGCAGCACATGACAGATGAGCAGTATCTGGACATCAAGGAGGAGCTGTTTATGTGCATCATGTGGATTCTTACCCATGACAGTCCAGTGAGGAGAGAGATTTTCCACTGAAACTTTCCGAAGCCGATGGCCTCCAGGGCTTCGTCTACGGTGAAGGTTTCTGTAAAAGGGGAAAGTCCTTCACTGCTCGTAAACACAGGTCTGCACAATGGCTCAAGGATCAAAACAAGGTGGAATAATGACATTAATATGATTAAAACACATTCAAATAAGACTTCACATCTCAAAAAAGGTTGTTTTTACAGTTGTACATATAAAACATTGGATCAGTTTATCAAATGCAAGGCTGGCAACAGTAGTAAAATATTGCTCACTTATTAATGAGTCAGCACAACAATCCAGTCATCATAATGAAGCAACAGCATGACATGGGCTACACAATGAGCACGCTGACTTTTGATATTTTGCTGCCAATAGTTAGATTTTTTTTTTTTTTTTTTAAAAAGAAAAAAAAAGAAAGAAAGTTGAATGCAGGACTTTTACTTTTACACAGTGAAAAGGCAAACTTTAAAAAAAAAAGAGAGTCAATATTCTGGCAGCGGGGCGCCAAAAAAGTACTGCAAGAAAATGTGAAATAAACATTTTATAAAACTTCTTATTGAGGAAAAATAAATTCATAATAAAATACATTTTCTGGCCCTGATTTTACATAACATCATGAAGATTGTTTTTGTGTTTTAATGTTTAGCTATTTCCATGTGTAAATTATACAGCAGTGATTAGATAAGATGTTTAATTTAATAAACAAGACTATAAAAAAATCACAATAAAAATATTGCTTCTACTGTTGATTGTGTCTAATTGTATATAATAAAAAAAAATAGAATATAGATATATATAGATATATATAGATATATAGAACAGTTTCACCAACTTAATAAAAAGGAAATATTTGGGAAATACATTTGCAAATGTATTCTAATGTTTTTCTTTTTAATGTAAAAAAAAAATCTTTAAAAAGTATTTCTATGCTGATTCATGATTATTTTTGAAATATTTTATAATGCAAATAAAAATTCTGAGTCTGTTTTTGGAGTTTCAATGATATTTTCAAAAACACAAAAAATCTGTAAAATAAAAAGGAAAAAATACTTAAAATGTCAGATTTTTTTATAGGACATAAATGACAAATTCAGCATTGGACTCTTTCACTTGTACTCATCTCTGTGCTTCCAGATCAGCTGACCATCGTCATATGCTAATTGTTTGCAACCACTTCCTCACTTTAGTTCCATGCATTTTGCACAACCTTGAAAGCATCAGGTTTTAAGATTGAAAGAAAAAAAACAAAACAAAGCAGGAGAAACTGCATGTAGCGGTGTTGTACCAACCTTCAATCTTATCGGATCCACAGCTGGATGCAGACTCTGCTCGTCCTGAATCAGGTGCGGCTGAAGCTATGGTGCAGATCTCATTGTCTGTGGTCTGATCCTCATCAGTCTGACCAACAAAATCTGTCTCATCCCTAAATATCAGCACAAAAGCTTCATTTTAAAACATGTCACAGTTTATCTAATGTAAATGGGTCTGCATGAGGACCTGCGTCGCCCTGAGGCGACACTCAGGTGTGTAAACAAAACAGGTCTAATTTGTTTTCATGGCAGCCTTCAGGATCTGTTTCAGACAAACACGAGGATATATTTACCTAAGTTCAGGATTACTCCACCGCTTGTAGGAAATCTTCGCAGATTTAACCCAGTTGTCCATTTCAGGTAGAAAGTTGTGGCTTCCAGCTCACATTACCGACCGGTGAGGTGTAGTCAAACCTGCTGGTGCAGTCACTTCTGGTTTCACCGGGACACCCAATCAGAGAACAATACCTGCAGAGCCGCGCAGGGAGGGGTTTGATTAGCCAACAAAAGTTTGTTATTTCACTGACCTGCACCCCTAAGCCACCTAAACGTATCCTGGATCTGCCGTAATTATATGTCTACACCTAACCTGTCTGTGGATTGATCCCACGGATTACAATGACACGAGAATAACACGATCACACAGTATTTTCTTCTTTATGATGCATGATGCCATAAAAAAAAAAAAAAAAAAAGAAAACGTTCCAACATCTATGTGACCAAAATGCTGCCTTTAAAAGTATGGAAAATATGTATTTGTTTTCTCTTTCTAATAAAAGACAGCAGATGATTATCACACAAACATGTTTTAGGGCGTAACCACGATTTACACAAAGGCTTGTGTCTCCTTCAGTAGTGAGTTGCCTAATTACCGCTCTGCTTCCTCCAATATGAGGCAGAAAACATTTTAAATATCGATGGATATGTCTGTTGTTTTGTTCCAGTTTATTTTCCTTTTTTTGCCCTTAGCTAAGGATAATTTGTGTACAGAATTTTGCAGAATTTGTCAGATTTCTTCCTCCGACTTTAATAAATACCCGATCGGTGCTTCCTTCAGTGAGAGTGATGTGCGTATTTACGCATGTGGCACAGCGGCGGTAACTTCACGATCTCCTGATCTGACGCCAAATAAAGTTTAATGTTTCTCTACACATCAGACAGGTCAGCTTTCTCACACATATTCCAGGTTTATACGGTGGAATTATTTGTATTCAAGCTTCTCTGGATGAATACTGGCCTCCATTACTGCTGCCAAGAGATGTTTAAAGATAAGCCTGTCATTACGCCCAAAATGCTCAGGTGGTAGAGCAGGTTCGCCACCAATCACACTCCTTCCTTTTCCTGGCCAACACACTTATTCACAACAATAATGAATGAGAAACACACATTTAAAGTCACTCCATAGGCACCCAGCAGGGGTGAACTGATGCCTTATGATTGTCTGTGAAGTAGTGTAGATGCATTTTGTCACTGGGGTCACAGGTATTGTTTATTGAGTCAAATGTATGTTGGGGGCGTGGCTTTGCATGAACCTCTATTTAGGTGAGTGCAGTGCACGCGCGTGGTGGCACGTGGTGGGTTGACGACACACGCCGACTTGGAGGTTTCCCGGAGTTACCTGGCCGCGGAGTATGGATTTTACTTGTTGGAACTTTTTGGAATACCTAAAGGTGTTGGAACGGGAGGACGGACCGCTTGCCGAGGACCGGAGCCGTCATTCAAAGGAAGGCTGATGCGCAGAGCCGTGAGTTGGTCCAGCTGTTGATGGCATCGGCCCCCTGCCACGAGTACTGTGGCGTGCATTTGTTTGCGGCCTTGCAGAGCCGTGCAGGTGGTGGCTGAACTATATATATGAAGCCGAACGGGCCATGAGCTGTTTGCTGAACTCAAAGAACTGTTTTTCAGCCGTGTCGTTTTGCTATGTTGTGTCTGGGGATGCGCTTGTGTATGTGAGCGGGGGGAAAAAAAGTAAAGTGTGCAAAGTAAAAAGCTGTGTTCTGAGCCAAAACAAATGTATGAGAGTGTCTGATTTTCACCCCTGCTGAGGCATAGATCCGCCCGTCTCCTTTATATAGAGCGTTGTGACACTGTCACCTCGGAATTAATAGGTGAACTGTTACAAAAGTGCTGACCGTTTACCTGCCAGGCTGTATTTCCAACGATCTGATTGGTCAGTAGTCGAGCTAAAGTTAACCTGTTCTGGAGCAGGTGAGCCTTTCTTGCAGCATGTGTTACCATGGTGATCTGAAGGTGAAGCAGCTCCATGTTTCCTGCTACTTGTCCAGAATAATGGGCCATTTATAGTCACCCTAACTCTCCCCGAAAGACAAGATTTATTTACAAGTTGCAGGTTTCAAGGTGAAAATCCAAAACAAGATGAATTGTCAGTGAACAATGCAATTAAGTGAAATAAGAAAATTTTCAGTTGTATGTAGAAAATTAAAAACAAAATAAAGAAATTGGCTTTCTAAGGTTACATGGTTTTAATGTTAGTTTACATTAGACATGTACTTTCATTTGTATTTATATGTACAGTATATCAAGAGAAAAATGCGTAAAATAAACAAAAGAATTCAGTAACATTACAGATTTATTTTTACAGCACTGTGGTTCAGCAGCTGAGCACCTGTGATGACCTGCAGCTGACAGCAGGTTGCGCTCTCATCCTGCTGTTTCTGGTGTCTGTTGGTCAACAGGCTAAAGGTTGCTGTTGTCAGAGGCCCTCAAAGGTCATGTGTTGGCCAGGTTATGTTTACTTGGACAGTCATTGTGTTACTTAACGCTGTACAAAGGCTACTGTAGGCCCTTAAGAAGAGCAAATTAAATTAAGACGTAAGGTTTTATTCCATATAGTATTAACACTTTTTGAGAACTTAATGAACACCTTGAGCTCAGGCCTGCTGCTGCTCTGACACTCAGTACTGGTGAAAGGTATAGGAGTACAACATTACTCTTTAAAATATTGCAGATTAGACATTTAAAATAACATAATGTGGTACTTATTTACACCAGCATGCTGCCTGGAAACAGCCTATTTAAAACCCTTTTCCAGCAGCGTGGTGTCCTGTTGACCCACTTGTCTGCTGCAAACATGACAAAAGTACAATATTTTTGAACAGGTACTCTCTTTTTTTTTATTTCCCTAGCTGTTGGGAGTAGCTCTGTCTTTCTGTCATCTGCAGCCCTGCAAGTGAATAAGGCCAACCTGGAAAGCTGTTGAAAAGTAGGACACTGTGGGGACATGCTGAGGCTGCTGCATTATGGGACGGTCATAAATACAGTATAGTTGGAATATACAGCGCATCCTTCTGTCCCCACACATCAGCTGCTCGCTCACACACTCACACAGAACAGCACAGAGCCTCAGCAGAGCTTTTCTGATTTGCACAAAGAGATACAACATGGACTTTGAGGTGAGTTTTAACGCCATATTATAAAATATTGCAGTCGTATGAGCAGTCTGTGATGATGTCCTTCAGCTATTGAGCGATCCGACCACCAAATGCACCACTTTGGAAACTAATAGCCTCGCAGCACGTTTTTTTCTTTTTTCTTTTTGGCCCTCAGAGTCCTTCCCTGGTGACAGCAGTCTGTTTGCTCACATGAATAAGGAATTAGTTGAAAGTTTAGTTGTTTGTTACTAATTGAGCCTGTGAATATTTATTTGGACAAGCAGTGGATCGAGGACGCTGAGTGACCTAAGCTGCCCTTCAGTCTTGTGTCAGTAATGCATCTGAGGGAAATATCACCGTAAACCGTTGTTACTGGAGAGAGGCTATGCATGAAATGAATGTACAAGTGAAGGTGATACTCTGGGAACACATTTTTCTGTGTGTGTGTGTGTGCAGAGGTACCATAACTCAGATATGACATTGCTAACAATATCAAAAAACTTTAAATATTGCAAAACCGTTATGATCAAAGTTCTACGTTTGTTCATTTGTGTGCTTAGTGTTGCATTTGAAATCTATTTTAAAGCAAAGCAGTGTGTTAGAATCAGTGGATTATGCAGAATTGTGTGTAAAAGAAGGAGGAAAAAAACTCCTTTTGTCAAACACACATAGCACACAATTGCGGTTGCGAGCCAAATGGTGGAAAAATTCAATAACATCTTTGCAAATGTACACACTTCACACCACTACATATGCACGCTCGACACTCATATTTAGACAAAACAACAACAACAATACCACTTTATATTTTAAATCTGTAATCTGTTAAAACTGTAAATCCTTATACCCAGTTATAAATATACCTAAGCGGGGTCTTAGCTCTTTGCTTTTGCAGTGTACCTTTGTTTTTGTGAGTACAAACCAGACCAGGTACACAACACATTATTTACTGTACAACTAACAAATACATCTGATTTGACTGATTTGACATGTGCCCACCTTTGCTTTGGGGTTGTTTGGATGTGTGTCCCCTGGGTGCTTATTCCAGGAGGAGTGGTCCTCTTTAAAGATTGAGAGGATTCCAGGAATCCATCAGTCTTTTGCCTAATGGATTGCCTTATGTTAATCACCATTTTTCCAGTATGCTCTCTGATGTCACAGCGTGCGTTTTCATAGGTAGTAAGGTAAGATGCCTTTGTTGATGCTTACAGGAAGCAATGTTAAATTTTAAACAGAGAGGGCAGCGTTACGCAGGCCTGTGACAAATAAACCCGCTGAACCACCAGATAAAGAAATGGTCGAAGAAAGACATATTTGTCATGTCTGCTGATGTGAGTTCTGTCATCGTCATCATGTCTCCTCTAATTTTCTGTCAGTCCTGTATTGCACTAATCAATATAAATTAAAATCAAAAAATTAGTTGGTCTGTAAAAGCAACTCCACCATGTTAAACAACCACCTGAATTTATTTATTAATTTAAAAATTTGATATATTTTTATATAACATTTCATAATTATTTACCATTTTGGCAGCTGGTGTCACTGAATCTGCAATAGTTTCATCCCAAACTGCTCCGATCACTCTGGCTCAGATGAACAGCTCGTAATTAGTTTGAAATGCATCTGCCTAATCAAAGATCAGTAATCGAATACCTGTGCTGTAATTTTGCGGGGAGGACGCCGAGAACGGGTCTCTGGGGAGATAGAGTTACTACATCCTTGTGTTACATACCTGCACACACACACACACACACTCTCCTCCTTAAAAACACAGTGTAGCTGTTCAACACTCAGGTGAAGCGCTGAATGGATGTTTGCTGCCTGGGCTCCATGAATGTTTAAGCAGCCGAGTCCTGCCATAGCCAGGTAGCTCATTACTGCCTCATTACATACAATGCAGGGACAGCAGCCCAGCAGGAAGCAGCAGTACCACCCACCTCCTCCTCCTCCTCCTCTTAAGCCTCACAG